CTCACCTTCTGTAAGAGCGTATAGTCTAATCCTTTGACGAGATGAGTGTGCTCCATATCGCCACCGAGATATTTACCATTGGCAATGAGCTGCTTTCTCTTCTCTGACATTCTCGAACTAATAAATAAATAAACTACCTTACAAATAAATACAGCGTAAATGAAAATACTGTACGTCTAATAAAAGTAGAGTATGAAATCCTATTTTTAAGAGGATTTCAGTCAATTTGTACTTAATAATGATAGCCATTTGTCAGTATTACCATATGCACACAAGCACAATGGCATATCACGGCCAGACTAAAACTAGCCACCACCAAAAGTTTACCAATTACTCAAAATTTCCTTCATTCAAAATCGAAGCATCTCAGGAATTTAAATTACTAACGAAAATAATTAAAAGATGAATCACGGTCACCAATGACTGTTAAAAATTGGAATCAACGAATCCAATGGGAATGCTTTTAGACTGAAAAGTTGCAATCATAATCTAAATTTCAAAATAGCTATAAGATCAACAGTATGTACTGACAATACTTGCACATGGGTAGCTGAAATCATGTAATTCTTTCCTTAAACATAACATCCATGGCACTACTCCACTACACGAGACTATCCTTCCACAGCACATGTACAAATACCTTGATCACGAACACTCAAGTACAAAGTAACATATGCCGGGTGGCAGTGTACAAAAATTATGCAGTGTAAATGTACATGTTATAGCACTAACCATTCTTCCTGGTAGAAAGAATTCGTTCTTTTCCGGGGCATTTGCTTGAAAGACAATAGAATGTATCTTTTTTTGCTATTGTACATAATACACAGAATCAAGTAACAAAAAGATAATTGAGTCCCCTAACCTAGTTTTGACTTGATTGATCCCTCCTCACATGCACTGATAGATCTCTTCTTTTCCTTTTCTTTCTCTCGTAATTCTTAATCTTTTCAGCTTCTTGATCACGGACCACCATTTCACTATGAACCTGCATAAGCAAGAATACATAAGACTTTTTACAATCTGGCCAAAGTCCCTGTACTATAGTACAGGATCTCTGCGCAAATTTTGCTAAAATTGACTATGTGAGAATTCGTCATTTTTATAATTTTATCTGATACATATGCATGTTCTTGTGTTGCGTAGAAATTTTGAACTGATTCTGATCAAACTTGGATTTTTTATCAAATTTTAAAAGTACTCAAAAATCTGGCCAAAGTCCCTGTATTATATAGTACAGGACCTCAGGGCAAATTTTGCCAAAATTGACTGTGTGAGAATTCGTCATTTTAATAATTTTATCTGATACATATGCATGTTCTTGTGTTGCATAGAAATTTTGAGCTGATTCTGATCAAACTTTGATTTAAAAAAAAAATTTAAGTTACTAAAAACGGGCTAAAGTCCCTGTACTAGTACAGGATCTCTGGGTAAATTTCCCAAAATTGACCGGGTGAGAATTCATCATTCTAATAATTCTATTGGATGCATGTAATGTTCTTATTCTGCGTAGAAAGTTTGAGCTGATTTCAAGCAAACATGGACTCTTTACGAATCTTTAAAATTAAGTTACTCAAAAAGCCATCATGTGCATGTATGTCTAATTGTCTATTGCAGTGTCTGTCAGCTCATGAAGCTCATGCTGTTTAGCTCACTTAGCATGCTTTGTGGAAATCACCACAAAGCATGCTAAGTATGTATGCTTGTATGTACATGTACAATGATATAATGTAGACATTGCATCTACATGTGCATATAAATCATCAGCATGTAGAGAAGATGTAAAGCATGTCTTGTGCACACATACATGTACATGCAATCATTCATACAAGGTTATGGGTGACGTGGGCCAAAATGGTAACAAGTTTTGGCATTACGCGTTGCAGGAGAGGAAGAAACTATAATTACTGTACCAGTACCTGCATACATGTACATGTATGTACCGTACAGCAGATTAACATTGTTTCACATACAAATACAAGCACATGTAAAAACGGTTAAGAGTATAATTAATGTCTACAATAATTTTTTAGCATTTACTGACACACAATCTCTTAAAATACAATGTAGATGCATGTACATGAAACAAATGGACTGGCACGTAAGTCCTAGGTTGGAATGGCTCTTCAGAATCAAATCACATGTACATGCAAACTTGTACGTTAATAGTACACGTACATGTATTGCTTTATCTCACCTTCTGCAAGAGTGCATAGTCTAATCCTTTGACGAGATGAGTGTGCTCTATATCGCCGCCGAGATATTTACTATTGGCAATGAGCTGCTTTCTCTTCTCTGACATTCTCGAACTAATAAATAAATAAATAAATAAACAAATAAATAAATACAGTGTAAATAAAACACATCTAATAGAAGTAGAGTATAAAATCATATTTTTTAGAGGATTTCAGTCAATTTGTACTCAATAATGATAGCCATTTGTCAGTATTGCCACATGCACACAAGCACAATGGCATATCACGGCCAGACTAAAACTAGCCACCGCCAAAAGTTTAGCAATACACGAAATTTACTTCATTCAAATCGGAGCATCTCAGGGATTCAATATACTAACGAGACCCTTCGATTTAAAATGCAACCTTTTAAAACTTGATTGGTTGTGTGGTGTAATATGTCTAATGCATAAATAATGCATCAGGCATACAGTGCTCTGGTGTTTTACCTGTCGGCATTAGGAGCAACAGCATGATAGCCTGATGCAGCCGTAAGCGTGTCATCGCTAACTGGTGCATCACTACCTACACCCTCTCTCCTTTCTTTTGCCTATAGTGAATAGGATGATGCTATACATGTACATGATTATAATATTTATACACAGACACACGTGTGCACGTATTAATTGCTACAAGTACTGACGTCACATACACTTACATGCCTGCACACATGCACACGTACATGCAGAAGATCACATTACCTCTTGTTCATTATGCGCACATGATGGATGCTTGCATGAATACAGTACGCAATGTTGCCAGTCATGTACATGCACATTAAATGTTCACGTATGCATGCAGGTACAACATGCATGCACGTACACACCTGCAGAACCCTCTAAAATAAGGACGCTTCTACAATCAGGCGGGACCGGTACATGCAAGCATACCACATGCATTATAAACGTGCATCGACAAGAGTCGAAGGCTTTTGGCATTAATAACTGAAAAGGTCGAGACTACCGTAATCAGCACAGTTTTATCGGGTCTCAAAGTGTACACGTCCGACTGTCGTGTCAATAACACCTTTTACTTATCCTGTCCCGATAGTTCCTGCAATTCTCTCGTCTTCTTCTTTGCGCAACTCAGCCCACCATTCACTGTTAGCACTAAACACAAACAGCAACTTAAAACAATATCATTAATAGTCTACGCACACGTATAGTGTCATTCGCACTGCACGGTGCAAAACCAACAACAATCAGTGCCTAATAGTTCAGTTGGCCGTACTTTTAATGCTAATTAATACGTGCATGCAAGACTGTTTCCGTAATTATGTATGTTCCTCATTTCATAGGCTGATTAAAACAGGCAATGCACACACGTACAGTACATGCATTATAATGTCAAAATAATTAAACAATGAATGCATCACTAATGACTGTTAAAAATGGGAAACAACGAATCTAATGGGAATGCCGGTAGACATTACACTGAAAAGTTGCAATTATAATCTAACTTTCAAAGTAGCAACAGCATATACGTGTACATGCATGTAGTGACAATACCTGCATGTATATATATGTACATGGGTAGCTAAAGTTAAGCATTTCTTTCCTTAAACATTGACGACACTATTCCACTACACGAGACTATCC